ACCGGAGAGACCAGAGAGAGACCAGAGAGAGAGGGAAAGACCGGAGAGACCAGAGAGAGAGGGAAAGACCGGAGAGACCAGAGAGTCCAGAGAGGGAGGGAAAGACCGGAGAGACCAGAGAGAGAGGGAAAGACCGGAGAGACCAGAGAGTCCAGAGAGAGAGGGAAAGACCGGAGAGACCAGAGAGGGAAAGACCGGAGAGACCAGAGAGTCCAGAGAGCGAGACCAGAGAGACTAGAGCGAGACCAGAGATAGACCATAGAGTGAGAGATCAGAGAGACTAGAGAGTCCAGAGAGGGGGAAAGACCACTGATCAGAGATACCGGTTTTAGCAGCAACACTATCCACATTAGGTCACACATTAGGTCTATGTCTCTTCTGCATTAAGGCTAACACTATGTTGCCAACAGCACACAACGCTGCTACTACACACTCTATGGTCTTGATCCATTAAAATCATGATTAACTATGGGAACCAAAGAATGCAATGGGAAACATGGAGCGTCATCCTTCTTCCTGGTTAAAACGAGCACAGTCCACATCCTGTCAGGGCTAAGAATAGATGAATGAATGAGGATCTTACTGTTGTTCCGTGTGTGGTTGTCCCAGTCCCAGGCCTCCACGATCAGCGAGAAGGTCCTCTGGAAACACAACAACGCACCATTAGTAACGTCATGATTATTAGCAGCTGAAATTTTAAGGAATCTCGGGAAGAGAAAAAAACAAAACAGTATAAATCACAGGATGTTGTGGACCTGTTTGCAAATTAAATGATAGGACCTACATCTAGATTTTACATTTTTATCGCGTGGAAGAAAATAGGCATTTGATTCAATTGTGTACAGCCCTAAATCACTACAGCAGTCGTCTGAGGACTTTACAATAATAACACACACATAATAATAAATCAGTTTGATATAGTGCTTTTTGGGACACTCAAAGACGCTTTACTCCAAACACTGTGGTGATAAACAACTACTGTAGCCACAGCTGCCCTGGGGCACACTGACAGAAGCGAGGCAACCAGTCTGTGCCATCTGTCCCACCACCACCACCAACCATTCACACACACACCAGACTCAGTGTCTTGCCTAAGCACACAACAGCAGTTTGGCACTTTACAGCCGCAGCCGCCCCACTGTGGCATCAGGTGTTCCCAGAGGTTAAGTGTCTTGCCCAAGGACACAACGACAGCAGACATCAGTGGGAGTCGGTGGAGACAGTCTTGTGGTGGGCTCGAACCCTCAACCTTCAGGCTCAAAGGCCAATGGTCTTCCAACTGAGCCACTGTCGCCCTTGCCTAGACATGGGATCCATTGGTTCATAGAGCAGAAGAACTGAGGCTGTAGACCCAGGACTGAGGCTGTAGACCCAGGACTGAGGCTGTAGACCCAGGACTGAGGCTGTAGACCCAGGACAGAGGCTGAAGACCCAGGACAGAGGCTGTAGACCCAGGACTGAGGCTGTAGACCCAAGACTGAGGCTGTAGACCCAGGACAGAAGCTGAAGACCCAGGACAGAGGCTGTAGACCCAGGACTGAGGCTGTAGACCCAGGACAGAGGCTGAAGACCCAGGACTGAGGCTGTAGACCCAGGACTGAGGCTGTAGACCCAGGACAGAGGCTGTAGACCCAGGACTGAGGCTGTAGACCCAGGACTGAGGCTGTAGACCCAGGACAGAGGCTGAAGACCCAGGACAGAGGCTGAAGACCCAGGACTGAGGCTGTAGACCCAGGACAGAGGCTGTAGACCCAGGACTGAGGCTGTAGACCCAGGACAGAGGCTGAAGACCCAGGACAGAGGCTGTAGACCCAGGACAGAGGCTGTAGACCCAGGACTGAGGCTGTAGACCCAGGACAGAGGCTGAAGACCCAGGACTGAGGCTGTAGACCCAGGACAGAGGCTGTAGACCCAGGACTGAGGCTGTAGACCCAGGTCAGAGGCTGAAGACCCAGGACAGAGGCTGTAGACCCAGGACAGAGGCTGTAGACCCAGGACTGAGGCTGTAGACCCAGGACTGAGGCTGTAGACCCAGGACAGAGGCTGAAGACCCAGGACAGAGGCTGTAGACCCAGGACAGAGGCTGTAGACCCAGGACAGAGGCTGTAGACCCAGGACTGAGGCAAAAATAATTAATTTCTCTCGTTATGTTATGCACTTTGAGTTGCCTGGTGTATGAACCGTACTATACAAACAAACTTGTATAGCCTTGCCTATAGTAATTATGAAGACAGGTCTGCAAATAGGCCTTTCCATCCATCAACCGAGCTCAAAAGCACCACACACACACACACACACACAAAATCAATGTACTTGCTACTACAGCGTCTCGTAGGCAGCTCGCTCCCTCAGTGGAGGTTGAGGTAGAGTTACAGTGAAACCTAACGACTGTGGGCGGATAAGGTGAAGCAGAGTGGGCCGAGGCCGCGGAGGATCCACCAACTTCCATTACCAGCTCCTCGTGGAACTCAGTAAGACCCAGACTTTGCCAGGAAACCATTCAAACTAACAAACAACCACAAAAGTCTCTGATGCAGTAAGAAGCAAGAGTCGGTAGAGGCTAAAGAGTTGATGGTATTTTGCGATATTTGGGCCACAATTCAATATTACTGTGATTCTTTACATATCGCGATACAGACAGTTTGTGATTCTGTGATATATTGTTATTATTTTCCTTCATATTATTCAAAGACTTCACAAACATGGAAGAAAATGAGACTTATTATGGTCTGTCACAACAAGCAGACGTCATAGAGTCACGACAAGCAGACGTCATAGAGTCACGACAAGCAGACGTCATAGAGTCACGACAAGCAGACGTCAGAGTCACTACAAGCAGACCAGAGTCACGACAAGCAGACGCCATAGAGTCACGACAAGCAGACGCCATAGAGTCACGACAAGCAGACGTCATAGAGTCACGACAAGCAGACGTCATAGAGTCACGACAAGCAGACGTCAGTCACGACAAGCAGACGTCAGAGTCACAACAAGCAGATGTCATAGTCACGACAAGCAGACGCCATAGAGTCACGACAAGCAGACGTCATAGAGTCACGACAAGCAGACGTCATAGAGTCACGACAAGCAGACGTCATAGAGTCACGACAAGCAGACGTCATAGAGTCACGACAAGCAGACGTCATAGTCACGACAAGCAGACGTCATAGAGTCACGACAAGCAGACGTCAGAGTCACGACAAGCAGACGCCATAGAGTCACGACAAGCAGACGTCATAGAGTCACGACAAGCAGACGTCATAGAGTCACGACAAGCAGACGTCAGAGTCACGACAAGCAGACGCCATAGAGTCACGACAAGCAGACGTCAGAGTCACGACAAGCAGACGTCATAGTCACGACAAGCAGACGCCATAGAGTCACGACAAGCAGACGTCATAGAGTCACGACAAGCAGACGTCATAGAGTCACAACAAGCAGACGTCAGAGTCACAACAAGCAGACGTCATAGAGTCACGACAAGCAGACGTCATAGAGTCACGACAAGCAGACGTCATAGAGTCACGACAAGCAGACGTCATAGTCACGACAAGCAGACGTCATAGAGTCACGACAAGCAGACGTCATAGAGTCACGACAAGCAGACGTCATAGAGTCACGACAAGCAGACGTCATAGTCACGACAAGCAGACGTCATAGAGTCACGACAAGCAGACGCCATAGAGTCACGACAAGCAGACGCCATAGAGTCACGACAAGCAGACGTCAGTCACGACAAGCAGACGCCATAGAGTCACGACAAGCAGACGTCATAGAGTCACGACAAGCAGACGCCATAGAGTCACGACAAGCAGACGTCATAGAGTCACGACAAGCAGACGTCATAGAGGAAAATAAACATCAGATGGAAATGATCAGAGAAAACACAACAGTGAATTGTTGAATTGTTAAATATCAATACTTTGCTGTATTGATTTGATTGTGTGCACAAAATATCTAACCTCTGCTCAGGGAATGATACATATTTTAATATTTTTTCTAGAAAAATAACTGTATAAAGTAGATGCAGAATATTAGAAATGAATGTGACAATGTTTACAGTGGTCTCTGACGCGGTTCATGGCCTCATATCACCTCATGTACAACATCAGAGACAGATATATTTAAAGTCTGAAGAAAAACTCTGGTGTGTCTCTCTCTCTCTCTCTTTCTGGTGTCTCTCTCTCTCTCTTTCTGGTGTCTCTCTCTCTCTCTTTCTGGTGTCTCTCTCTTTATGGTGTCTCTCTCTCTCTCTCTTTTGGTGTCTCTCTCTCTCTCTCTCTCTCTTTCTGGTGTCTCTCTCTCTCTCTTTCTGGTGTCTCTCTCTCTCTCTTTCTGGTGTCTCTCTCTCTCTCTTTCTGGTGTCTCTCTCTCTCTCTCTTTCTGGTGTCTCTCTCTCTCTCTTTCTGGTGTCTCTCTCTCTTTCTGGTGTCTCTCTCTCTCTCTTTCTGGTGTCTCTCTCTCTCTCTTTCTGGTGTCTCTCTCTTTATGGTGTCTCTCTCTCTCTCTCTTTCTGGTGTCTCTCTCTCTCTTTCTGGTGTCTCTCTCTCTCTCTTTCTGGTGTCTCTCTCTCTCTCTTTCTGGTGTCTCTCTCTCTCTCTTTCTGGTGTCTCTCTCTCTCTCTTTCTGGTGTCTCTCTCTCTCTCTTTCTGGTGTCTCTCTCTCTCTCTTTCTGGTGTCTCTCTCTCTCTCTTTCTGGTGTCTCTCTCTCTCTCTTTCTGGTGTCTCTCTCTCTCTCTCTTTCTGGTGTCTCTCTCTCTCTCTCTTTCTGGTGTCTCTCTCTCTCTCTCTCTTCTGGTGTCTCTCTCCCCCTCTCTGGTCTCTCTCCCCCTCTCTGGTCTCTCTCCCCCTCTCTGGTCTCTCTCCCCCTCTCTGGTCTCTCTCCCCCTCTCTGGTCTCTCTCCCCCTCTCTGGTCTCTCTCGCTCTCCGGCTCTCTCTCCTGCTCTCTCCCGCTCTATCTCTCTCCCTCTAACCACTGTAACCACTTAACTGAAAAATAGCAAATACAATGACTCATATAAACTCTTACAATTCCTCAACACTTTTATTAAACCAGGAACGTCAAACCGAAATGCCAGAATCTGTGTGGGGTTATGAATGGTGTACGTTTTTAATGGTAGGGGAAACCAGAGCACCTGGAGGAAACCTACACTGACACAAGAAGAACAAGCAAATTCCACAGAGAAACACCCCAATTGCAGCAGCTATATGTTTATGATGGCCTCTCATCTGGGACAGCAGTGAGGGCTGGCCAGTGGCAGGTCCAGGTCTAGGTCTAGGTCCAGGTCCCAGACAAGGGGACTTGGGTGATATTAGCAGTGGGAGAGGCTCTGAGCCCGTCTTTGTCCTCGGCGTCAGACAGAGACGTAAATCAGCAGCTAATGGGATTATCTGGTTTCACACCAAGTTATGTCTCACACTGGACCAGCAGACACCAGGCAACAGGACTCTGAGGAGCACAGGGACTGGCCTCCTGCTGGGGCTATGAGGAGCACAGGGACTGACCTCCTGCTGGGACTCTGAGGAGCACAGGGACCGGCCTCCTGCTGGGACTCTGAGGAGCACAGGGACTGGCCTCCTGCTGGGGCTATGAGGAGCACAGGGACTGGCCTCCTGCTGGTCCCAGAGTCAGGACAGGCCAGAACCGCACAGCGTTTTGGGGGAAGTAGGCAGAGGCTTCTCAACCAATGGCGGACAAGCATGAACCACAAGGAATTATGGGAAATGCAACAAGAAAAAAACCCAGCAACAACACCGGCTGGCAAACGAGGGAACGAGGAATGAGAGCGGCAAAAGAGGACATTTAACTTGTAGATTAAAAATAAAATCTGTCTGACAGGTTTAAAAAAAATAACTAATTATCGATCTCTACTGATATGAAACACTTCAGATTCATTTATTTGCCATTTGCAGTAAAACCACATTGAAATACATTTGCAAAAGTCCCCAGTGTGCACCAGACAAGTGCGTAAAAACAGGAATAAAACACATTTTTAAAAAGTGCAGGAAACAATTGACACTGAAATTGATGAAAGGCAGATCATTTAAAGTGCTCTGTTTAAACTGATAATGGAGATGTCCTGCATCTCAACGAACGACATCTTCTGCAGAGGGAAGAAGCTGGAACATGGCTTTTCCAGGGTTGCCAGAAGATTCATTAATTAATCTTAAAAGCTTGGTTTAAGAGTCTGGATTCATTCAGAACGTCCAGAACAGGCAGCTCACAGACCTCTTTTGCTTTTACCGTGATATATTGTTCAGCCATATCACATATTGAAGTTTGAAGATATGTCTCTAGTTACTGAGTCAGCATTGAATAAGAAAAAGTAGAAAAATCAATATAACGTCAGCATCAGTCTCACGTGAGCCATATGCTACATTCTATACATCAACCAACAGCCATTATATCATTAACCTCACGTAGAAAACACACACACAAACACGCTGCTAATTGCCCGTTCTGCCTGAGTGAGCCTGGTTTGAGCAAACATGACACATGGAAACTAACCCAGCTAACCAGCATCACCCTCTGTAATCTAGCCGCACACTGCTAGGCAACCAGCTGACCTAAATAACAGCCACCATTACGTCACCGCTGCCTCTGACCTCTACTGTAAAGTCACGGACAGGCCCCAGAGCTCCGGCTGAGGGGGGGGGGGGGGGGGGTCAGGACGGGGTAGGGCAGGTCAAGATGGGGCAGGGGACCGGCCGAAAAAGTTGGTCCGAATGAGAGTTTGTAGACGAGGGGAGGAGAGGAGACAGTAGTAGCGCCTGGTGCTGGTGTGTTGTTGATCTGGGGGACCAACAGAATGCATGATGGGCGGCAGGATTAAGGAGCTTGTCTGGGGCTGGGAGGAAGGGGAGGAGAGGGGAGGGGAGAGGAGGGGAGAGGAGGGGACTGTTATTGTGGAGCACACACAGGAGACCAGAGCTTGGGACTACAGCACCGTCGACCTGACCTCACATGTCGTGCATCTGTGCAATAACAGTCGGAATAATGTCAGAATGTGCAATATATAGAACCTTGTGTGTCACTGTGTCCCAGAGCCTCATGCTAATGCTAATGCTAACATGTACAGACGTAAACAAACAACTATATGTGCATTAGAATATTCAGGATTTACACTTAATACACTTAATGATGCTCAAGAGATGTTATGTTATTAGCATAGACTTAGGTTCATTTATCTTGTGCTGGGTGCTCCTCGTTCCTACTGTTGTGTAACTGGAGATGCAACACTGGCATTTCCCTGCTGTAAGTATTTCATGTTAGTTCAAATTTCTCCAACAGGATGAATAAAGGATCTCTTCATCTTAATCTTAGTCCCTCTCCGCCGTCTTTACTAACAGCCAATTATTGAGGTGTGTTGCCGAGTCAATTGAAGAGAGAGGGTTGTGATCCAGAGCGGGGGGAGGAGGAGGGTTAGGAGGGGGGAGGAAGGTGAGGAGGGTGAGGAAAGGGGGGGGGGGGGGGGGCAGGGTGAGGAGGAGGGGGTTCC